GGGGGATGGGGTTTCTACATCTGCTAAAGTTTTCCACCATTTCAGTCTTGTGTCCACACAAATAAGGTTTATTAAGAACACACAAACAATATTGTTTCAAAACAGGTTCCAGAGAGAAAAATCTTGGAACACAATCATTGTGCTTTTATGTGGACAGCCAAACACATTTTAAAAACAATGACGTCATAGTCCCACATCTAATTTAATCTATGATCCAAGAGTTTCACGCTGTCTTTACAATTCATTGTTCAAGCTGTACCTGCATGTGTAGTTGATTTTTAAAAACGGTGCCATGTTTAAAAGGACATTAAAAAAGTCATGTTGTTGGTAACATGAGGAGAAAAAAAATCCCAAAACAAAGTCAAAGCTTCCACCTTCTCTGGAGCTCCTTGATGCGGACCATCATGTTGAGGTGACCCTGGGAATACTGCTCAATGACATCCCGCACATCATAGGGCTTCCGGGCTTCCTGTGGATTCGTGCACGCACACAGACACACGCACAAGAAAAAACACGCACACATGGTCGGACACAAAAGCCATTGTCAATCACAACCCTCTGTTGCTTGGTCGCCCGAAAACATCCCCAACCCCCTCGGGTGCAAAGGGTTCATTGTCAGCTCAATGTGTGTTTTGTGTGCATGCGTAAATGTGTGTGTGTGTACTAAGAAGCACACAGTCAGCTGTGTTAGGGGTCTTTTCACAGCTTTGTTTAGTATGACGTTGACACAAGGGGTATTGGAATGAACCCAATGAACCCTTTAGGGTCTCCCTGGTCGACACAGTATAGCCTCTGCAGCTGGGATCACTTAGACCATAATTGAAAACATGTAGAATGCCTGGAAACCTAAAAAAAACCTGTCTGCTTAAGGAACCATTAAAGAGAATATTTGGCATCAGTTTAACTTAGAATTTCATACATGATTATTGTGACCCCCGCCACTAAAAGCAGGGCTCATGTTGTTTTTGTTCTGTTTATTTTATTTTTATTTACCGTATTTTTTGGACCATAAGCAGCAACTTTTTTCCTGAACTTTGAACCATGCAGCTTATTGTCCGGTGCGGCTTATACGTGGATTTTTTTCTTCAGCCACCAGAGGGCTCTTTAGCCGGAGGTGTGGTTGTCGCGAATAAACAGAAGAAGACGAAAGCGCCATTTTGTTTTAGCTAGTAGCAGACACGACACGACGGATTAATCTTCGACAGACACGACAAAATATTTCTCTTCAAATTCAAACGTGCTCATCATGGAAAAGAATAGAAGATCTTCCTATGATGCAGCTTTTAAGTTGAAGGCTATTGAAATTGTGCAACAGGAGGGAAATAGAGCCACTGCACGTAAGCTCGGCCCAGGTTCCGAAAGGCTGGACTGCTACGTGAAGAGAGTACCACAGCTTCAGAGCCAGTATTACCCCGGGATGAAAGCAACACAGAAAGCAACACTGAACAGATACCGCTGTGTGACGCAGCTTTTCTGAGCTTGTTCAACTCCAACATTGAAGAAAAGGACTTCAATGGTTTCAGTGCACCGGAGGAAGATGAATGAGACGTTTCGTTGTTTTGTTGGATCAGAAACTAAGAAAACTACCAAAATAATGTCAGTTAAATGAACCGTATTCCTCCGAAGTTTAATTCCTAAAGGTTCGCTTTTTATGTTTTGATGCTGAATTCACTTTTTTGACAACAATTTTGGGTGTACTGTTTTTTTTATGTTGGGGGTGCGGCTAGTCCGGTGCAGCTTATATGTTAATGTTCGCGGGTTTTTTTTTTTTAAATGGCGGGTGCGGCTTATAGTCCGAAAAAATACGGTAATTATTTTCAGAGATTTTGGTCAACTGTAGCATAGAAACAGCTGCACCTAGTAGCATGACATTTGGTAGGAATATACTGTAGATGTCGCCAGCCTACACTGTGCTGGCAAACGGTGTTGAGTTAAACCCCTTATTTCAAGTGGGGGCACTATTTGAAAAGCTGGTGGCTGGACATTCAAAAACACTTATATTAAAACAAAACTATTCAGCAAAGGAACCTCAGAGTTTTCTGTTCTTTAGCTCTGATGAAGAGTTGTACAACTGCCACCAGCAGTAGACAAAAGAATCAAAACACATGACTGAAAATTGTTATTTAAAGCCTGTACGTCCATAAACATGATCAGATCTTGATGAAATTTGGCACGAATGTTGGTCTTTCTAAAACAGGGGTTCTTAACCTTTTTGACCTCGGGGCCAAATTTATTGAACTTAAAGTGACACGAGGCCCAGTCTGACATTAACAATGTATGGACCAAAATGATAATCATTCCAAATCTTGGTTTAATTTTTATTATATTTGCATTATAACTAAATTAAATACACTTACATTTTCAAAAGTAAAACTCCTGTCAAATAATCACAAGACATGATTTTGACAAACAGTTTTTTATATTGTAGCCTGCCCATAACAATTATTTGAACAAATACAAAGGTCAGTCAACAGACCACTCAGGCATATATATATA